CTTTACAAAACAAAGTCAAAAATATTAACACATAATCCAGATAAGTGATTAAGCAATGTTTCATAACTCACATCAGTGACGTGCAGTGAGGTTCATGATTGGTAAGGAACTGACTCCTCTGAGTCAGATAAACAAATATATGAACCCAAAAATCATAGCTTTTCAATTTTGACATTACGTGAAAGCTTTCATTTTTGCTTTAATCAATTCTAGATTGTTCAACAATATATTTAATAATTGTGCCCCTAAAAATATTAAAATTAAATAGAAGATTAGAACTGGGCAATATGGACTTAAAATCCTATCATGACATTTTGTGGTATTTTTTGCGATAACAATAAGTCTGTGAAGGTTCTCAGTCATCCAGGTCATTGTAGTCTAAGGCGCTTGGAAAGAAAAGTGAAGCTTCTTCAGTGAAGAAGCTTCTCGGATGAGAGATGAAACGTCTTCAAGCAACTTAAAGAAATCCAGACACTTTTCTTTCCAAGCTTCTTAACAATAAGAGTTACAATAAAAGATCATAATAGTATTTTTGCCTATAAATCTATCAATGCAGCCTCACAAATACAAATACTGCAAATTAAATTTAGCAAATGTGCTATTTAGGCAAACCAGCAGTTATTTATCTTGTTGAACTGATGATAAGTTTGACATTAATGGAAGTAATAGTCTCAACTAAATTATCATATATTTTTTTAGAGGTTTGAAAGCAGTCTATCATTTTAATCACATAGGACGTGTGTTATCACAATATTGATAAGCGATGCAATAAGATGCCCAGCCCTACAGAAGATGCATTAAAATTTATTTAGGTTTGGTGTGTCTCATTTTTTGTGTTTAGTAAATAAATTGGTCAAATGACCTGGAAACAATTATAGAAAAATCATTCATTTTACATCAATTTATTAATTTTTAAATAGGAGATGCATTGAAATAAAATTGGTGCGTCTCATTTCTTAGGACTGATTTGGTGTCGATTTGTCCTTTGTGAAATTTACTGATGTTCCCCAAGTGCGCTGCTTTATCCACTGTGTCAATGGCGCTCTCAGTGTAATGTGATTACACTGTGAATCCATATACGTGTACCTTTTATACATGTTGCCTTTAGGGTTCAGCACTGCCCTCCATCAGCCTCACTCCATGCATTTTTGCAGCACATTTATGACCATTAACATTAAACATGTAACACACATTCGTCAAATAAATTAGGTCTGCATCAAGTCATCATCTGTATTACATGTGTAATCAAACATGTACGTTGGCGATTTAGAGAAACAGCAGTGGGATTTCGCATGTGTGTGTCCGCGGTGAGACACAGCATCATCATTGCCTCCTCTCAGCGTTTTACCTTGTATTTGAACAGAAAATCCGTAATGACAGCAATTTTGACCATAAAAAGATTGAAATCACACAGAAAGCAAATTTAAAATCTAGTGTACAAATTGAATTTCTCTTTTGTTAGTATTTTACTTCTTATTAAGGTGCCTCACTTGACTGCATGTCACTGATTCACATGTATCTACAAAATATTCAAATATACACATATTCAGTTGAAAAAAAAATCTGATTAATGACAGACACAGAAGTTGAAGAAGCATTCAAATAATTTCAGAGCTCAATCAAGGTCAACTAAAATACATACTCCATCCATGGCTGCCATGATTAAGTTGATATTGCGTTTAGCTGTTCCCCCTTCTCTTTGAACACTAAGAAGGTGGTCAGCGTAGTGGTCCAGCTTGGCCATGAAAGTTGACAACAAAGGGACGATGGTGATGCGGGCGAACTCTGCAATAACCTGAAACATATTAAAAATTACAACTAGAGAGTATTCTCTATTAATTTTATTAGAGGCCACATGCAAGAATGCTACAACTTTTAGTCAAACATTTTGTATCTTTTAAAATTAACAATTTATAGTACTTTGTTCTTCTTCAAATACAAGTTCTTATGAAAATGACTTGCAATAACAAAGTTAGTAAGAGTTACCTCAGTCTCTGAAAACAGGGCAGGCCATCTGTTTTTGACCTCTGCAATGAATGGCATGTCTTTGATGATTTCCTGTCTTCGGTAGCGATGATAGCCAATGGAAACTGATACAAGGAGTTAAATGCATTATATATAACAGTATTACACATTATTCTGCACTTCAATGACAACAGATGAACGCATGTCTTATACTTTACAAATCAAACTGTTAATCGCTTAAATCCCTGCGTTTGACACTAAACCAGAAATCAACATGGAGTCGAATTCTTTCAAACAATGTAGCAACTTAATTGAGGCTCATTTCTAAAATACACTATACATTCATTTCATTCTTCAAACTACAGGATCGCTGGCGCTCCCGGTGGTCATTACTGATGTCAGGGAGCAGGTGCGGTAGATGTTGGGAGTAATTTTAAAACTGTAGGTCTTAGTAGGCAAGTCTCACCTTAACAGGAATCGCAAAAGATTTTTGGAAAATTACACCGAAGCAGGTTCAACAATATTTGTTAAATGTCTTCATACTTCTAACACGTGAGAGAGGTATACAAGCTAGAGTGTTAAAAAATTTACCAGGCCTCATTTGTTTAAAAAAAAAAAAGCAAAGTATTCCCAAAAGTGCCAGATGTTTATCAGTTAGTATACATTAATCAAATTTGTCATCCTTAAATTGTTGTACTTACCAAATAATCCTCAGATGGCGATGGATTCTATCCAGGATACTAAGCATATGCAAGTCTCAGTTGAAAATGGCGATGATCAAACTTCCACACTGCACATGTGCAAACTCAGAAGTATGGAGAGCCTATTAGGACAATCCTCTTTAAATTAAAGTGTTCTTCATTTTAAATGAACTTTTTATGTTGGATTTAATTTACTGCATTTTGTTGTATTGAAATATTATGTTGTTAATTAAATTCAAAACAACATACTTGTGTTTAAAGTTAAAAATCAATTGGTGGCATCTCTCGATGCTCTCTTCTCTCTCACCTCATCCTTCCTCTGCCTGAATCTGGTTCTTCCGACTGGAGGTTTCTTCCTGGTAAAAGGGATTTTTTCCATCCCACTGTTGCCAACTACTTGCTCATAGGAATCATCTTATTTTTGTGGTTTTCTTTCAAACATTAAAGACCGTTTGTCCTAAAAATACAAAGCATCTTGAGGTGACTGTTGTCGTGAATTAATGCTAAATAAATAAAACTGGAATGAACTGAACTGAACAGGTTAAGAACGGAGGTGAATAGGCTGCATGGGGGATCACAAAGCCTGGAAAAAAACAGGGTTAAACTAAATAAATTTTTTATTCCACGAATTTCCAGATATTTAAATTAATTTACTTTACTTTCATTTATTGTATAGTTTTATACATTTTGTAAGGGATTAATAACTTATCATTTTGCTGACTGCATGGGTTTAGAAACAGAAAATAAAATGCCCTTTAAAACTAAAATGCTGCAAATAGCCTATGCTCGTGGCTGGTAACATTTATCATGCCTAAAACTAATATATATAATATATTGATACATGCAATCAAATGTACTGGGCCACCCACACATTACACCTACAGGCCATGCATGAAGCTCCCATCACACAGTTTCTGTGCTGATGTTAATGCAGTGGAGGTTTAGAATTTCTTCAGTAACCCTGGCTATTTTTACACGCTCTGCCCTCAGCACCAACTCTATGGTCTGCCACTTTGTGACTGAGAAGCTTCCACTTTGCAGTAATATCACTCACAGTTGATTGTGGAATATCTAAGAGGGTTGGAAATTTTGTAAAGGCACTTTCCTGTTATAGCAGTGAGCTTTTCAAAACGACCCATTCTTTCACAAATATTTATAAAGGCAAACTGTATGGCTCAGGGCCTGACTGTGGCACTGGGACTGATAACACCGAAATCCAAAGAGGAACAGGTGTAGATCGATACTTTTGAACATTAATGTATGTCATACTAATGTAAATCTTGGAAGCCAATAAATAACTATTACCGTCGTGAGTTTTTAAAAAAACAATCGTTCATTTCTTTCGGAGATTCGGCACATCAGCAACTGCTCGATTCACACTATACCTACAGTTGACCGTGCTAATCGTAACAATAATAAGGATTAGGATGATAAGGATGGTCAATTTTGACACATTGCTCCTTTAAATGTGAGACCACCTGCTCCTCTGGCGTCAGCATCATCCGCAGGCGGCACGGTGGGGATCGATACGGCAGTGAAATGTTCAAAGTGGGATATTTTTGGAAGACCTCAGCAGGCACCGGAGGAGAGAGACCGTCACCGAGCTGACTGGCTCGACGAGAGACGAGTACACAACCCGGTAATAGTCAAGGTAAGTCCCGTCAGCACCTGCAGATGTTCATTTATGGTTCATTGTGTAAGGCAGTGCGCAGAGAAAAACAGGGCGTTGTGTCTTGGCGTTTAATATGCAACATTTAGCCTGTTGCGACGGGCCAGTGTGTGAAAGCTGTTACATGTTAAGGCAAGAACAGGCTGTACAGGGTCGGTGCAGGATGACAAGAAAAAAAGAAAGAAATGAAGAAAGGGAGAATCAGCACATGGAGATGATGGCATGGTGTAAACCAGTAAATATCAGCTATGATCAGAGCAGCTGTAAATCACATGTACATAATATGAGTTTTTAGAGTATTAGATGCCTTAAGATTAGGCCACCCTGCAGATCTGCAGCTAGCAGTCAGCTCAGCAGCATAATTAAGATCACTGGTATTCAGTACAAGTGAAGGATTGAAATTGTTATTGTCTTAGTAAACAGGCTGATTTGTTTGTTCACTGCTGACACCAAACAGCTGTGATCTGGTTTTAAGACAGAGGCGAGCGGTCAGGGAGTCTTCTTCTCTGACTGTGAGGTTGCGTCTTGGGAAAAAAAAAGTCTTTCGGCGAATCATGTGATCCAGAAAATATTTTGTCATAGACTCTTGTACAAGAGATGAGAGTAAGGGCTGCTTGTTGCCATGGAGCCGCTGACCTTGTTGCCGTGGCAACAGCCGGCAACACTATGCCATGACTTGTGTGTTTGTGCGTGTGCCAGAATGTAGCTACAGTCACTAAAAAGGCATATTTTCACTTTTCCTGTCTGGATGGGGCCATTGATCTGAAATCACGTGGCTCCTCTTTTATTTTAGGTTATTTTTATCAATTATGCAGCATATTTACAATTTTGATGTGTTACAGGCACTTGAGGGACCCTTAGGCCCAGGTGCTAGAAACCTGTCCAGACTGGAGGGCTGCATGGGGGACGTGAATGCCATAGTGACCTCAAAACAGCCTTAACTCTAAATCTCTACACTCTGGTCCCTCAATCGGCAACAGGAAGTAAAAACTGCGGCCCTCTTGAAGAAGGTTCTGTTTCATCACAAATGTGTCATCATCTGTAGCATTAACCAAGAGCGAGATTCTGCTAAGCTGACAATAGACTACACCCTGGGTGATGTGTAAATGTGTGTATTTCTATTCAAGTGTGAAGCAGCTTGGCTGTTAATCATCAACCTCAGTGAGGACGGTGAACGACACATCTCTGTCCCGTGTGGCTGTAACTCTTAGTGTGGTGTGTTTCTGGGTTGATCACATTTAGTGGACGTCAGTCCTCCTCTCACTATTTCATGTTTACAGTTCTCACTGACTAATAGATCAGTTATTAGACTCCCTTTTTTTCTATTGTTTTTGGGCACATTTATCACAGCTTCTAAAGAGACCATCCATTAAAATCTCTGATTCATCCTACTAATGTGTTTGACTGTTTTTCTTTTTTATTCACAAGTGCCTTATGTGAATGTTTTTTTTTGTCTTTTTTTAATCACAGGTAGTCCCATGGAATCTCAACTGCTGGAGGACAGCTTTACCTCTGAACCACAGGCATAGCCAGAAATGTTCACCTTTTATCCCTGAATAATCGCTACTATGGCTTTTTGTAATGAAAGCTTCATGGAGGAGTGTAACTGCATGGACCCGAACAGCGTAGAGGAAACGTCAGAAAGCCTCCCATCAGAAGCTACGACTCCTCTCATATCAGTCACTCTGCGTGTGACCCTGGCAGCCATAATGATCTTCATGATTACTATCGGTTTCCTCGGCAATGCGATCGTGTGTCTGATTGTTTACCAGAAACCTGCCATGCGTTCTGCTATCAATCTCCTGCTTGCCACTCTGGCCTTTTCAGACATCATGCTCTCTCTGCTCTGCATGCCCTTCACTGCAGTCACCGTGGCCACTGCAGACTGGAGCTTTGGGAGCGGTTTCTGCCGCGCCTCCATCATGCTGTACTGGCTGTTCGTCCTGGAGGGGGTGTCCATCCTCCTCATTATCAGCGTGGACCGTTTCCTGATCATTGTGCAGCGGCAGGACAAACTGACCCCGCACAGAGCTAAACTGTTGATCGCAGGTTCTTGGGTGCTGAGCCTGTGTGTGTCATTGCCGTCAGTGGTTGGGTGGAGGGCGGGCGCGGCAGGTATCGGGGGCGCCTGGGCACCGCAGTGCGTGCTGGGATACAGCGAGTCCCTGGCAGACCGTGGATACACAGTCCTGTTGGCTGTAGCGGTTTTCTTTGTGCCATTTACTGTCATGCTGTACTCTTACATGTGCATCCTCAACACGGTGCGCCGCAACACCCTGCGCATCCACAACCACACCACCGAGCATTCCTGTCTGCCAGCCCTAAACCAAGTCAGCAAAATGAGACTTACCGGACTGCAGCGGCCGCCTCAGGTCAAGGTGGACATGAGCTTCAAAACCCGAGCCTTCACCACCATCCTCATCCTCTTTGTTGGTTTCTCAGTGTGCTGGCTCCCTCACACCATCGTCAGCCTGCTGGCCGTGTTCAGCCGGCAGTTCTACTACAGCTCAGTCTTCTACCCCATCAGCATAGGCGCTCTGTGGCTCAGCTACCTGAAGACAGTCTTCAACCCCGTCATCTACTGCTGGAGGATCAGGAAGTTCAGGGAGGCCTGTCAGGAGTTCATTCCGAAAAGCTGCAGACTGTGTCCCAGAGTGCCGGGCAGGAGCCACAGAAGAGTGAGGCCCAGCAATATCTATGTTTGCAGTGAGACGCAGTCAGCTGTGTGACACAGGGAGGAAACCCAATGCAGTCTAATGTTTTTAACTTTTTGATAAGCTATGGGATGTTACTGAAGTTCCCTTTAAAGTAATAAAGTTCTTGTGAACAAATAAATGTTACCACAAAAACAAATTGGTTTTAACTTTATTGAAACTGGAGCATTTACAGTCCCATGACTCCCTCCTTTTGGGGAAGGTCATGTGAAAATCACAATTGCTGACAACTGAACTGATCTGGTGGTGACAATCATTTGTCTGCTGTTTTAATAAATAAAGTCAAAGTGTTCATTCAGCTTCATGGCCACGCAAGCTTCTGAAACATACTGACATTTAAAAAAACATTTTTATATCTTCCATTTTTGCTTTATTTTTCTGTTTCCTGTGCTGTCCCTGAGCTGTCATTTTGTTGTTTCATTAGTCTGAAGTTGTACCGTTGATAATAATTATGTTGTCAGTTATGTGCTAAGATTCAGAAAAACAAAAAACAAATTACAGTATTGATGTTTGGTGATGTTCTCAGATGAAAGTCAGACCACTGTTAAAAAGTGTTTGATGAAATTTGTGTAGAAACACAGCCCTCTGTCAGCTGGTTCATGACTCTTAATGTTTCTGTTATAGAGGAATGAGTGTTAACTGCATTATCATGTCACATAAGATATGTAAATAAATATAGTTTTGGATTAAAGTTTCTTTGACTCTCTTCCTCTCTAACGATAAAACATGTAGAACGAGTAAGCTCATTGCATTAAAAGAGCAAGCCCTGCACAAGGGCATTATTTGTAAAGGGCCACGACAGTGGTATAGTTTTTTTTTTATGTCATCCCTGTGTACCACCCCCGTGGATTACGCAAGTCAAGTGCAGACTTTCAGCTTGAGGTAGCAGGATTAATTGTGAAGTAAACAGAACTATACTCTCTGCTGCAAAACTTATCATACAGATCAAATGCATAATGAACCAAAGCATACTGCAATTCAAATGTTTCCCATGGCAAAGAAATAGGATATTCTTCAAGTCAGTCAACTGATCTCGACCTACCAGAGCATGCTTTAGGATTATGAAATCCAAAAAAAAGTATTTTCATCCAAGAATTAAAAATAAGATCCAAATGAGCCAAAAACAAAAACAGAACCAAACAAACCCAAAAAATAATGATGCTCATCAAGGTTATTATTGTTAACTAACACTAGACTAAAACTAGATATGAAAAAAAAATAGTTAACTAAAATAAAAATAAGAAATAGACTTTTGAAAATAATAAAACTAACTGAAATGAAATGAAATTATAGAGGAAAATAACCACTACTAAAAAATACATACCAAATATGTAAACGGTTTTAAGTGTCTAAAGCCAGTAGGAGGCAGTAATATTCCTGTAAGCTCAAGGATGCAAACTGTCGTATACCTCCAACAGCGAAGAAGAAAGGCAAACATGGCGACTTCCACGGGGCAAAATGGAAAGGCTGCTGGTACTTCGGATGCGGATCTCTTGCTTCACCCTGAGTTGTTGTCTCAGGACTTTATGAGGCTAGTTTTAAATGAGGTAAGTCGGCGTTTTAAAAGGAACTCTAGAAATGTGATTTGATGCGAGAATAAATGAAGAATGCGGAAATGTTAGCATGTAAGCTAACAAGCAGGACACCTCTCTGGTTACTGTTTAAGTACACTCAACTCAAGACGCTGCTTGTGATTTTTAAAGTGGAGATATTTTTCTCTGAATCAGAAAAATGTGAGTACCAGAGACTGTGGGAGCAGGGACCAGCTTACAGAGCTCTACCTGCGGCATATCATCCCTCTGCCGCAGAGGACTTTACCCAACACCCGCTGGGGACGGAGGATGGAGAAGAGCCGAGGGAAGCAAACGCCGGTAGCTCACCGGTCAGACAAGTATGGGTCCACAGCTTCAGACATTTAGTACTTTCATGTGCAGTTTTAGGCTGTCTGCATATAGATAATTTGACTATGATGTTAGAATTTGGACCAAATAATTTGCCGAGTTCTATGAAAGGCGAAACGAATGTGTTATTACTGTAATTTCACTGATCAGTCAACAGACGTAACAACTCTGTGAAAGGCCCCAGGACAGATGCACTATATTGCTAAAAGTACTTGCTCATCTGGCTTCACACATATATGAAATTAAGTGACATCCCATTCTTATATCATTGGTTTTGATATGATGTTGGTGCACTTTTTTAAGCTTTAACAGTTTCTGTCCTGGTTGGAAGTCTTTCAGCAAGGTATAGGAATAAAAATGCATGTAAAACAACATATTCAAAAGTTTGTAAAACAGAAGCAATAACTTTCATCCATGGACTATATATCAGTATCTGGAAAACACATACAGACACAGTCCAGGTGTAAATGTGGCAAAACAAAAGAAAACTGTAGCCTGTAATGTTAAAATAAGATTAATGCATTTCAGAAACTGATTCATATGGTTTTTCAGCTCCAGCAGTGACCACAGTAGAAAGAGGCCTCTGATTGTGTACGATGGGAGCTCCTCTCACTCTGGCCCACTGAAAGTGAAGAAACCAGAGGGAAGTATAGTGTCAATAGGAAGCAACGACAGGTTAAAACCTCCACCAGCAGCAAATCTTTCCAACCCCATCCGCAAACTCTCAGGCAACACATCTTCCTCTCCATCCAGTCAGCGCAGCAGTGACACAAAAAACCTCAAACTAGAAGAAAATACGTCGGTAGGAACTTCTCTCCTCAGTTATTCATGCACAAAGAAAGTAATCCACGAGTGTTCATATTGTTTGTGTGTTTGGAGATATTCTAAAGAATCTGTAAGGACATTTATAATAAAATAATAATAATCATTTTATTCTTAAAAAAAGAAAAATATGCAGTTCATAATGCCTGTTTATGTTTTATCCTCCATCGTTTTAGGGGGCACTGAAGTCTCCGGAAGTGAAGAACAAGATCCAGCGTGTGACTTGGCCCTGATCTTTGGCCTCTTTTTCATACAGACCTGATGGGACCTCAAGGTCCGGCAGACAGACCACTCCTTTCCCTGTCCGTAACCTGTGGTTGTCCACTACCTTAGGTGTCCCATCACAATTTTCCCAACTCATTTATCCACAGAAAGAGGTGGAAACCCTTCAAGCTGTGGGTCAAAGCTGCTTAACTGTTGCCATTCAGTTATAAGAGCTTACAAACCGGAATGAAGTCACGAGCTTCCTTGATGTTTTCCAAAACCTCAAGTGCCCTTACCAGCATTAATCAGCAACTTGCATTAAGTCCCATCCAAAATGAGTGAGGTGAATTATTGCTCTTTTTATTCTGTTGCTGGTTTAGGTTAAAAGGCCCCGGGGTGATGAATGATGGCTTCGATGGCTGTGTGTTCAACTGGATGCTAAAGGATCTTATAATGTGATAACAATGGAAGTAAGCAAGAGGGAATGCAGACATGTTATGAAACAGATCTTTTTCTTCGGTGTATTGTAAATGAATATAGACGGATCATGGTGAGCATCACATTTTAGAAGTTGTGTGATCAGTGACTTTTTATCATTTCTGTTATGAATTCAACTGAGATTTGCATTTGTCGAGCACTACATAAGTTTTCCAGGATTTTGAAATGTCACTCTGGTGTGAGATTTTACATATGCTGCACATAACGATGGGATAAATAAAAACGATATTGAACTTTATTGTTAGTAGACCAGTAATTGTTCATAAAAAGAGCATCGCAGAGAGGCTGAGTCTTTCAAAAGGACCACTTTTGTAAATACTGTTCCAAACATTTTGGGATGTTGTGCAAAAATGTAAATAAAAACAGAATGCGATGATTTGAAAATCTCATAAACCCATATTTTATTCACAACAACATATAGAAAACATATCACATGTTTGACCTGGCAGCGTGGCATTTTAAGAAGAAAATAAAGTCATTATGAATTTGATGGCCTTAACACATCTCAAAAAGTTGGGGGCAGGGCCACATTTACCACTGTGTAGCATCACCTCTTCTTTTAACAGCAGTCCGTAAACATCTGGAAACTGAGGAGACCAGCTGCTGGACTTTTTGGGAGCGGACTTGTCCTGTTCGTGTCTGATCGAAGATTCTAGCTGTTCAACAGTCTTGGATCATCTTTGTTGTGTTTTTCGTTTTATGATGTGCCACATTTTCTGTTCTTGTTTTCATAACATCAAAAATGCAGACTTTTGAGCACATGGATGAAGCTGGATGGTCCCTCTCCTCTTTAATCCAGATGATATAGCATCCATGTTTTCCGCCCCCAGAAATTCAAATTTCAGCTCGTCTGACTGGAGAACAGTTTCCACTTTGTCTTGGCAGTGATAAATGAGCCTTGGCACAGAGATAACAGCTGTGTCTCTGGATCATTTTGACATATAGCTTCTTTTTTGTCTTTTTTTTTAAGCTTTAACCTGCACTTGTGGATGCCACAGTGAACTGTGTTCACAGACAGTGATTTCTGGAAGTCTTCCTGAGCTTGTGCAGTGATCTGTGACAGAATCCTGCCTGTTTTCAGTGCAGTGCTGCCTGAGGGCGCAAAGTTCACAGGCATCCAATACTGAGTTTTCACCTTATTGGTGTGCACAGAGATTCTCTGAATATTCTGCTGATATTATGTACTGAGATAACGAGAAACTCTTCTGAATTTTACATTTAAGACCATTACTCTAAAATAGATTGATGCAACAATTGTGAACACAATTCTTTGCAGAGTGGTGAACCTGTGCACAGCTTTACTTCTGAGAAGTTCTGCCTCTCTAAGATGCTCCTTTTTTTAAATATCAGCTCATGTCACGATCTGTTACCAATTAACCTAATTAGCTGCAAACTAGTTCCAGTTGTATTTTTTAGTATGAGCTATTTTTCCAGCCATTTGTTGCCCCATCACATGTTGCTGCCATTAAATTTGAATTAAGCATTTTTTATGAAATAATAGAATGTCTCAGTTTAAACATTTGATGTTTTCTATGTTTCATTGTGAATAAATTATGGTTTAATTAAATTTCATAAAATTTGCAAATCGTTTCAGTCTGTTTTTATATTTTTGGAATTGGGGGTTTTGTTTTTTTTTTAATCTAAAGATAATCTTCTCTTTATGAACAAATTAACACAAATTATTTAAACCAAAAATACAAGTTAAACAACACTATGCAAAGTAAAAAAAACAAACAAGAAACAATGGAATAAAGTGAAATGAAATGCTCTCCTGTGACAAGAAAAATGTAAATTTGCAGTCATAAGGTATTTGAAAATCGTGTGGTAGGGGGACGGCCTGGCTTACTGACACCAAGAGCAAAGGCAGCAACTGTGCTGGCATAGGCTTACGTTAGTGAACATAGACTGAGCAACATCTGTAAAGGCATCAATAATGCTAAACAATACAGCATCACATACTTACATCCAGAAGACTTTTCTGTGCAGACGTCTTGCGTATTTTAGTCAACATTGCTAAGCCAACAGTGTAGCTTAGTAGGAAAAACATCCAAAAATCTGACCAAAGAAGCCCTGAAATCTCAACCCAAGCAAGACTTTGAGAACTACAAGAATTTACCTCCTCATTTTCCAAACACTTACCTGTGATGAGCAACACAGTGTTAAACATACCACTTAAAAACACAACAACCTGTTTTTCAATCGTTGATATGTCTTGCAAATTGTATTAACATTTTACAGTTTTCCAACTTTTCAGAAACTGGTTTGCAATTGAATACCAGGTTTTAATAATTCAGACACATAAAATGAGCTTGGGCAAAACCAAGAATGCAGAACTTTTGAAGCCTATTTACTGGAGAAAAGGAGAATTGACTTTGCAGTTACTGATGTGGAGTTCATTAAAACACACCGGAAAATGTGCTTTGAATCAGTGTTTGTACAAAAGTGTCATAAAAAAATGAATTAAATAAAAAAAAAAAAAGGATGTTCATTGATTTAATTATGTAAGAAATTTTACAGGCTTTATGTGTCATGTTTGACATGGTGTTCAACTGGACATTAGAGTAAAACTGAAAGAAATGATAAAAATCTTCCACCGAGCAATCTGTAGTGCTTTTCTAGAACATTTTTAATCTTTTCTTTTTGTAAGTTACCAATAAAAACATTTTGACTTTGCCATTTTTAATCTCTTTTGATTTTTTTGTTTTGTTTTTGTGTTTTGTTTAGAAATCCTGAAATCATCTTATTTCATGCAGAATTTATTTATTTATATTTTTCATCTTTCATGCAATGTATTCATATTTATTCCTTTATACGAATAAATATGCATTTTTAATATTTAAGTGGTTAAACGTCACAAAAACTCTAATTACATGCACAAAGCGGTAATTACTATTATTAAGCTGATAGTGTGCAGTAAAATTGTAGATTTTCCTCAGAATCCTTACTTCAGTATCTACTTGGAAACATTTTCTCTTCATGAGCACAATACAGCAGATTCATGCCTACATTTATTGATTATTAATTACTTTTTCTTTCCTCAAATAGTGAACATTTAACTTAAATGAACTCTCTTATCTCAAAGAACACTGTTAGTAGCTTGTATTTCATGTACATTCATAGTATTGCTTTGTAGTAACGATGTTATAGATGTCATGCACTGTGCTCAAATAGAATTTATCAACTCTGCATCGTTCCCTGATCATAACGCGGTCATCCCGTCAGATGTAACGGTCATCACTCGGGCTGAATTAGATGTCTTTGCCGCACTCTGGGCACAGGATATCGTCGCGTTCGGTGAGAAATCCACGGCCGACCAGGGACACGGAGCACTTCTTACAGTTGAAGCAGTCATTGTGCCACTGACGCTCCTCAAAGGAGATATACTTGCTGCCCCCAAGACCTGAGAATATCAAGTTGAAGTCAATACATCTGACAAACCTGTTATAAATTAGCCTTATTAGATTCAGTTGACCCAGTGATTAAAGATTACCACTAATGGGGGTGGTGCACGAGGCACACTTCTTAGCATAAAGGTTGCAGAAGCAGTTGAGGCAGTAGGCAAAGTCGTCTCTGGAGGTAAACCTCTGTCCAGACAGCTGCTGCTTGCAGCTAGTGCAAAGGAAGCAGTCCTTGTGCCAGGGCTGGTCACGGTAGGTCACCCCGCCAGTGGTGATGGGCTATTTAGAGGGAACTGGGTTACTGCCACACTTTAGTGCTGTTACACATGCAACAATAACATGTAGTGTGAAAATGGAGACTGAAAATAGAGAGCTACTTTGAAAGTACATTTTACTCGATATCATTGTATGTAGCAGTGGATGTGCTACCTTCTTGCAGTGCACACAATGCATGGCAAACTGCTTCTCATAGCAGGGCACACAGAAGTTCTGGTTGTCCTTGGGGATGAAGCTCTTGGTGCCAATAGGCTGCTGGCATCGCTTGCAGGTGAAACAGGTCTCGTGCCAGCTGTTCCCCTTGTGCTCCATCTTCCTGGAGCCTTCAGAAAATAGTAAGTTTACAACTAATGATTAAATTCAATTTTGGGTCAACATAGTATACATGTTCTAGTACTCCAAAGGCCCAACAAGGCATGGTTTTATTCTATAGTATGTGCCGCATGTCGCTCCATACCAATCACTGCTCAGGTTGAAGTGTATAGGAATAGGTTACAAATACTTAGTAATTAGTTGTTACTTTATTTGTACCTATTAAAGTGAAAAGAAAGCAGGTTTCTGTAAATGTACTGACAAAATTAATGTGTTTATACCCTATATTATTATAACTGTACTACAGCAATGTGGGCAAACAGGACTAATGGCATGTATCGTGCCCAGCTAATCAAATGAAAAAAAAGGAAACCTTCTTGTTCATCCAATGGGAAAATAGCACAAACAATATCAGTACTGTTTCAAACTTCTCAATCTAGTTCTATTACTTGGTTTAATTCAATTTTAGCTTTAGTTAAGTTACTCCACATTATCCTTATTTTTGCAGAGATCCTGAACTGAACAGGCAACCTTCAGACCTCTGAGGTGCTTTCCCACCCTCTGGGCTACAGCTCTGTTTTTCCAGCATAGAAAGTCAGCTATAACTCAGCCTACAATAGTGGATTTTATTCTCATTACAACTTTCATATAATATAATCTGCACCAACCAGTCTATATAGTGAGACAGAAGACTTTTATTTATGCAATGATCCAATTTAAAATTGAGTGACAAATTAAGGTTTAAATTTTTCTAGCTACTCTGCTGATCTATTTCAGTTTTCTTCCTACCTGGCATGATGGTTTTCTTGCACTCATGGCACTTGGAGGAATACTCGTTGGAGTAGCACTCGGTGCAAAGGAGCTGCTCGTCCTTGGTAGAGAAGGGCTTGTCCACCAGGGAGCGCTTGCACTGGAAGCACTTAAAGCATTCCTCATGCCAGTGACGGTCCTTGTAGGAAAGATCCTGCAGAAAGAGCAGTACTCTTGTTCTTGTTCTCTACTTGTTCTTGCATCTATGCATTTCTTCATTTTATATCTCTTACCCTGGTGTTACAGCCAATAGGCTTCTTGCACTCCTCACAGGTGTTGGAGTACAGGCTTTCATAACATTTCACACAGTAGGGATTTTCCTCTCGCAGAACATACTTCTTCCCAAACAGGGACTCTTTGCAGTAGTGGCAGTCGTAGCGTTCTGTCATTTTGACCTAGCACTGCTCAGCTGAGAGAGAAAGAAGCAAAAGAGCCTAAGGGTAATATTATGTATACAGGATATGAACGCTTATATTAAGTACCATAGAAACTTTTGCCATTTTGCTTCCCTGCTCCAATTAATCCTTGGAGCGATGCTGGCAATCATCAGAGAGCCATTTCTTAGAAATCAAACTTCAAACTAATAGCGTTTTCTAGGACGCATTAGTAGACCTGTCACTCTACAAGTTGGGGAGTTTTCCATGCATTTCCCTCTTTCATCTTCCTCTCCCATCTCTCAGGCGTCCTTCATTTTGTGACAGATGAGAAGGTGAGCGATGAGGCGGATATAAATAACTCCTATCAGTCCTGCTCAGAGACAGTCAACTTTTACCCCGTTGCATACCAACACACACTACGCCACTATACGCCGACCCATTTATCACCTCACCTCCAGCTGTCAGCGCCAGATCACAGTATCCCTTGTCACTGTGTGTGCGCGTCCGTGCATAAGTGGGTTTAAACGACACTCGTAATAATGACTGTTCACAATCTGCAGCTGTTTGTGGTCTGCCTGTTGAACTCTTGGCTATCCCACCTGTGCCTATATCGCTACTCTTGGTTAAACGAGGATAACATAAGCGATTTATTTGAGTATTTCTTTGTGGGTAAAAGAGAAGATGCAGGGCAAAAAAAAAAGGGTTGATGAAGTTCCATTCTTCAAGACAGAATTAAATACTACCCAAGCTCTCACCAAATAAAGCAGATCAAGACAAAAAAACCCCTGCAAAAAACCCCTCCAGAAACCCCAAGCTTAAATTCATATTTCTGGTTTGAATTGAGCTGCTCTCTGCTGTCATCCCTATAATCTTATTGTTCTTCCCTGTGATCTATATTTGATCACCGTAGATTCCCACCTAAGTGGTCCGTGAGTGATTTGCGATGCTCCCCACACTCGAAAGGTTAGTTTCTTTTATCTTGCTGAAGCTGAGACGTTTAATCTGCCCGTCCTTTCTGCTCTAAGCATTCTCAGCGCCCTCCCACATTCCCTCATTGTTTATCACTCCCACCATGACTCACCTAGCTTATATAAGGATTTATCTGACTCCTAAAAATAAAAAAAGGCTAATCTGAACTGCCGCAAATAAAAGCTCCAGCCATTCAGACATGCCATGCAGCTGTTTCCCAGCTTCTGGGGTCTCTTTGATGCTCCCCATCTGGGAGTCAACCTGAGCTACAGACAGTTTACAGAAAAGTGAACTATTAAAAGGTTCTTGTGTCTAAACATGGTGCCTTGTAGAGAACTGCTTATTTTACAGTATTTTAATAAGATCTCTGCATGTATGGCATTATCTGCATGCACTGGAACATTTATATTTAGGTCTAAGAACGTTTAGTTAGAGTGAAACTGCAAAAAGGAATTGTGCGATCGCATCATAACGCCAAAAAAGATGCAGAAAAGCTTAAAATCGCAGCCTTTTACTCATCTTTACAGATGCTAGCCCACTTTAGTGTTCTACTCTCCTGACCTAACAGTCCTGAAGGATATCCTTTTCAGTCACATAGCAACCTTCTAAGTGTTACACAGAATTAAACATTAATTGATCTTAACTTGATCTAATCTGATTTGCTGATCCCCCTTCAGGCAAACCCAATTAAAAAATCTGAACCCCGGATCAATCATTTGTATTTCTATGAGAGAGAGCACAGTTTTTGTACAGTTTAGAAAAAGTGTGATCTAAAAACACCAAAATACTGTAAAGCCATAAAAAGCAACAGAAGTTATTAGGAAGTGGCTGGTTTTATAGTAGTAAAGTTAGGTTTACGTTTTGAAGAGAAGGGAGCAGAAAAGGTTGAAGATAACTAGCCTACCCATCACTGGGTGATTTAAGGAAGAGCTTTTTACTAAATAAGGAATCCAGTCTGCATGAAACAGGCCGAAAGGAAAGTGAGGTGATGGAAGAGGTAGTTAAATAGTGACAATGCTCTGCAGGTGGAAGAAGGGAGAACACGAGAAGGTGGGTGGGGAGGCAGATAGGAGGATGCCAGTGTGGTGGAGAATGGAAGACATGGTGAATGAAAACCAGTGAGGAGAATGGATAGGCGGAAGAATGGACAAGTGAATACATGGAGAGTGGAGCAGTTGAACAGAGTTGGTTCTTACCTTCCTGTCTGAGGAGTGTGTGCCTGTGTGGAGTCTGTGCCAGACTGAAGGAGCAGGCTCCGGGTGAGCTGTACTTACTCCTGATTGCTTTACTCCACCCATCAGGGGCTAATTGAAAATGGGGGAGGGATGATAGATGTGGGGGGAGGGGGGTTACAAGGGGGCAGGGATTCTTTTTTGAGATGGTCTATAAATACAGCAGAGCTTCACAGAGATAAACCCGAGGCCCCATTTCACTCGCTCATTTTGTCCCCAGCTCAGCCATGTGGCCTTTTAAGGTCACTCAGAAGTTGTTCACTCGCTCACATCCTCTCCGTGTGATTCACGTGTTCACTCACTCGTGCTTCACTCTCTTCTTTCATTATTTTTGCTTCTCCCCAGAACAGTCGTATCATATCATTCCTCCCTTTTTCACTCCTTGGAGAGAGTTATTCAGCTTTCCTTGCTATTGTTTGTTTTCTTTCTGTCGCAGTTATCCATCATTACCACAACATTGCACTCTAATGCATATGCATACTATTGAGTAATGACACTGCAGCCTTCTATATATGATAGAAAAGATGCCAAGAGTCAAATGTCAAAGATTTTTGTCCTGTGAGATTTGTTGCTACTCAAATGTCTCATCTGTTCCTGCCTCCCCATATTTCCCCTCACAGGGGGACTCCACATTCATTCCCAGCCCTCCCATTTGTTGGCTACAATATCCAGACTTGCTAATGACAGACACCCACTTGTTTTCTTAGAAAATTTTAGCACTATTTTCTGATGATCTCTAATCCACACCGCGGCCCCCTCCGTCACCCCCACCCACACCCCCAGGCGCTTCCCCACTCTTTCTTCTGTCATTCGACGTCTCCCTTTCTCTCTGAGGCAGGTTTTCCTGACCCTGTGGTCCCTGGACACTCTCCAGTGAGAAAATGCGTCAGCAATGCCCCACTAAGATTCTAGTGTTCTATTTGTAGCACGGCATAAAGAGTTTGGTGCTTAACAAAGTGTTAAATCAGTTTATGAGGGTGCTGTCTCTATGGTTTTAGCCACCATGTTTATCACAGTTGGGTTCAGCCATATCGCTGGCTATCCCATCACTTCAGTTAACAGGGATTTGTCTCATGAGATAATCTTTTAAAACAATATTGATTTGCTGTAATGACTTTGTGCAAAACCTGTCCTTTGCACCACCAGGGGGATGACATTGTGGTTATGTCAACAACAATTTGAGAGTTTCCCATTAAATTTAGCACTCATGTAAGTCATGTGATTCATTAATTTTTCATTGAAATCATCCTCACCACTTCTGACTCAGTCATCAGTACTTTTACTTTAGTGCTGACCAGTGACTGGTAGATTTTAGGAAGTATACCGGTGTATTAATACTAAGGTGAAACAGTTTGTGTTTAGGATCAGGAGATAGAGCGGGTTGTTTACATCTGATGCATCCAACAGAGTGTTTGTGTGTGTTTGTGAACAATCGGTTAAAAGTGCTTAAGCATGAATGAATAGGTGAACTTGGTGAACCAAGTTTGTAGGAAAAAAGCTGTTTGAGTGCTCAAATTGATTAGAAAACAAGTACATTTAGCATTTAGCTTAAAGTTTGGAAGCAAATCCCAATTTCTTGTAGCTGTGGCAACCAGTTCAACTGGGATATAAACAACAGCCTGGTTTATATCACTTTTGCCTTTTTACTACTTATAGAAATTGATCAGCCATACTAATTCAATCACTCACAGGTGACCTGACGTGATCACGTTGGTTAGCAGCTGCCTAGCAATGGGCTAAAATGACCTGTTTTTAACCTTTGTGCACCTACAGCACCTTAAAAAAGTCATTTTCATGACACCAACATTTTATCAATATTTTAATAATTAAATAAAGATTTTACATCCCCAGCAACCTGCTAGCAACAGGCTAAAAATGACCAATTTTTATACAAACAGGAATCCCTCTAGCATAGAAGTCACACCTACTTAAACATTTGCAAACATAGCACCCCCCACCTACTTCATGGTGGTAGCTAACACTAATCCCAGTGTCCTCCCCAGTGTAAAAGTGCATCCTGCCACACCCTGAAAACTGATTAAGAACAGCTTCAGTAACACAACAAGGAATTGAGCCTCCAAACCTATTAAATGCAGATTAATCATTTAATAAGAACGATGGCTCTGATGCATCCTGAGAGCTCTAACCTGAGTTTACATGTTTTAGATGTGCTTGTGGAAATTGCTGTCTCTCCCACCAATTATTTTAAATTTTAGCAGTAATTTTTCAGACTTCTTTCGACTGTAGTAAACAGTAGCAGTGTTTTATGTATGCCAGACATGTTTGAAATGGGAAGCAGAGACAAACAGGAGGTTATGTTATTTGGACTAGTACTGTTAAATTGAAGTCAGAAGGCAGTTTGTCAGACAGAAGATCATATTGTCCTACATTGGAAGAAAGACTGGGAAAAATTGGATTATTGTCACTGTAATAAACATGTGGCATCTTTTTATTTATTTATTTTTTTTAAAGGTGGTGTTTGAGGGAACTAAAGGGATTTAACCATGAAATATGAGCATAACTAAAAATGATATGTTCTTTGCTGCTCGTGTGTAAATTAAACTGATTCTATTTTATAATGCTTTAGTATTCAGGCATGGGAAACAATCAATTCAGTTCAGTTCACTTAATTGGAGACATGAGGTCCAGTTAAACATATAACTGTGCATATAATAAATATGACCAGTTGAAAGGATGCCCAAGACTGCCCTAACGTGCCCTCAGTATTTGCTCCTTCTTCCCAGCATTTAGCTGAAACCTCCCTCTCTCTGCACTCTCTGGACTGAGGCCTCCACCTCAGCTGCTGAGGCCAAGGGGATAAAGGTGCAGCTGTCTGGGCACAGCAAGGCTATCGTGATGGTAAAGCCTGGTACTTACTTCTGCTGCAAATACAGCCATGTGGAAAGGTCAAACCAGGCACTCCCCATCGTCACTAGTGGACTGTTAATCATTAGTGCCAGAGCAACCAACTGGACTGGAATTTCTTTGGGTCATCCAAGATCCAATATGATCCTTTGGAAGAACTTCACTGCACTCCCTGTCAAACTTCATGAAATGGATCCCAGCAACTGACTTTAAAGTAGCGTCACAACGAAGGTCTCAGATGGGCAGTTAGAACTGATAAAGACGGATGGATTCATTTTGGGCTCCCGCTGTGGGAATAGGGTAGCAACTGTTTGCTTAAGATGATGATAGTGTTCATTTGATTTTAGATGACAAGTGTGATAAAGTCGACCAATTGGCTTAGTTTAGCATGAAGGCAGGAAACAGAGGACACAATGAGCTTATGGATAGTCTGAGAAGGCAAACAAATCCACCGCTAAAGCTGACTTATTAACTCATTTTATCTCATTAGAGACACCAAACTAAGTGTGAAACACATTTAATCAAGTCCTCCATCCTAAATATCCCAACAATCTGATATGAACCATGGGAGCAAACTAGCGCAAGAGATGTGTCAGATGTAAACACTTAATTCTTGCATAGATATTAGAAAAGAAAGTCTTCTTTTGTTCAGTTTTTTATTAACCCATTAATCACTCCAACATCTGCAGTACACAGACATAACATCTGTAACATTCTCTTTTCCTTTGCTCTACAGTTAACATAGTCACTAGTTGTGCAATCTTTTTTGTACCATCATAAACGTTAACATTTAACATACTAACTGAGTCCTGTAGAGTCTGAGATGTCGCTCTTGTGTAGAGTTTCTTTGAGCATTGCACAGTCTGACCTTGGGGTGAATTTATTGTGATGTCCACTCCTGGGAAGATTGGCAGCTCTCTTGAATGTTTCCCAGCTTCTCACTCTTGAACGTTGGACTTCAAAATGTTTTGAAATGGCCTTAAAACTCTTCCCAGATTGATGGGCACATGGCATTGTGTTAATGGCCACATTTGAATGCTAACAAAACGTCTGCTTTTACAGAGGAGCTCACGTCCTGATGACCAGTAATTCAAGTGAATTTGATTATCAGCACCTAGCTGCTATTTTTGCCCCCTCTTAAGGAGGGAAACAGGAAGAACTTATTTATTTAGTACATACTGCAGTATTTATTGTTTATCTGAGATTGCATTATTTGTACCACCTGGTCCTGCAAAGGATATTTATTTATTATTATTTATTTTTTTTAACTTTGTAATTCTCTCCTATTGCTAAATACCAGAATAAGTGCACAATAACAGATAATAATAGACAATAATCGAATTGTCAAAAGCACACTGTTTTGGCTGAATAGGTACTTTGTATCTTGTGAATATTCTAAGAATAAGGTCTAAGTGCATAATGATGGTCAAATGACAGCATGGGTGGGTTTTTTTTTTTT